TCTCTGCCTTTGTCTCCGGAACTGCGCGAGCATGGAATTTCAAATTTTATAATTCCCATTTTTTTTGCGAGCCTGAAAGTGGAAAGCCGGTCTCCCGGCTGCTCTTGCGTCTCGATATATCGGGACCGGTTTATTTATTACCGAGCGAATCCGATGTTTTGAGTGCAAGTCTAGTTATGCTGCGAAAAACAGGAAGCCAGGGAGCAATGTTCACAAAACCTGTTATACGAATTCAGGTTTATGTTCAAGGCAATTTTTACTTTTTTTGACCACAAGAAAAGACGGAATGGTTGCCAGGTTTTTTTTTACTGTTCGTGCCTTGAAGCTTAAGCGTTATGTTGTTTGTTCAAAACACGCTTTTAGGCTTCCCAGAAATACTATGAGCATGGAATAATACGTCTTATGCCGAACATTCCTGTCGGTGTGTGTACCGGAGCAACTGTCATGTGTGCCAGTTCGTCGATGCCAGCTGCAAAGGTCTTCAGCACTTATTTATTTCAAAGTTTCATGTTTTTCCATTACTTGTGATGATCCTTATGATTTGGAACTTCCTCCTGAGCGCTGCGCTGATAAAATGGGCATGCTGGCCCTCGCAACAATCATTTGCCAGTTTCTGCTGTGAAACCTAGGCTGTACTGAAAGTAAATAAAGTAAATATGCTAATTTGTTTTGTTTGTAGATTGCACTGGTGAAGTTCATTATGGAGCATGTTGGCACATGCGTTATGATGAGCGAGCAAGCGTTCAATGCGGCAACAGCAGTCGTCGGGTGTGGGCCTGCTTTTGCAAGTTTTTTTCTGTACCATCCTTTGCCATAGGTCGACCGAGCTTTCATAGCATTTTGATATAGTTTGCTTAGTTCACTTAATTATTGAAATTTATGAAAGCCCAGACTGCAACTCACCAGGCTTGCTGGTGCGAGGTGCGATCATGCGTTTTGGTCTAAGCTTGTAGATCGCTTACAGTAGGAATGGTTCCTGCGTTGTACCTTGACGCTTAGACTCATACTGGCTGTGTTTTGGCCTCTTCCTGCACGCAGGGGAAACGCGTCGGTTAGGACGCAAATGTTACATTATGGGGCCACTTGGATCTCCAGCGCGTATGATTATCAGTTTTCTGCATAAAGCCTGGTCGTTCTTCCGGTGAATGTGGCTTGCCTGGTAAGTGAAATAGCCAATTCGCTATAAATATCTTTGAAACACCCTAGTCGTGGCGCATGCGCAAATCGAAACTCAGTTTAAGTATACGTTCCCCATATGAATGATAAATACTTTGACAAAATTTCAACTACTGTTTTCCGGCTAGTTTTCGAGTTAGCGCAGTGCCAACTGCGAGCTTTGGCGTGACCGTATGTACGGCATAAGTATGCGCGATGGCTGAATTTGAAATCTTTAGCACAAACGTGCACAAAGAATATCCTTGCAAAGTTTCAGTTTTCTATCTTGTCTGGTTCGCGAAATCGTTTCCCGCCAAAGAAATTTGCATATTTTTTTCGGGAGGGGGGGGGGCGTAAGTGA